GACGTGCGGTATCACGTCCTTTTATACAAGTATTACCGTCTAGTAACCCGTTACCGCAGTTCAATTTATCGTCTAACCGACCAGTAGAATTGGAAAATCGTCCCCCTCAACAGACAAGTCCAAGAATTCAAAGAACAGTGTCTAGTCCTTTTATCCCTGTATTACCTTTTGAAAGTAATGAAGGTAGAGTGCGTCGTCCATTATTTGACCCAACATCCATGGAAGAAGCTTTTTCGTCTACTAGCGGAATTACTGAAGAAGAAGTGTCGCTCGATGAAATTCCATCCAACGTTCAAATAGAAAAGTTCCAATTTTTCGATGAGAACACACGAATGTCTGTAGGAAGTGGAGTAGATTATTGCAAGTCGAAGGAACATGATTTTGATGATGATACAACGTTATCATGGCAACGTAATTTGGGACTGATGAACATCGTGTCATCATCATCATTCAAGGACAGCAGTACACCGATGGATATTGATAATGAAGAGGAAGAAACAACATCTAGTCCTACGCCGAAAAAAAGATACAAGCTGAATTTAAAAGAAGAGAAACTAGTTGAAGATGTTTTCAGCCAACAGTCAACATCAAAGGAACAGAAATTAGGAAGAAAAACTCCTCTTAAGAAGAAAAAATCATTATCTCCGATACCCAGCACGAGTCGTCAAGCTGATGAAAACGACTATTTGCAAAGTCTCAATTTACAGGAAAAGAAAGATTCGACATTCAAAATCCCCGAGCCATTAGCGACACCATCAAATATGAAGAAAACAACAAAATCTACATCCAGGAAAGAAAAACAACAACAAACTAAATTTACCATAAAGACTGGATTCGAATCTTTCTGCCCAAATGAACAAATTCGTACAATTGTGAATGATCAAGTACAAATGTTATCACGTATGTTCATCTTGATATCTCTATTTGTCAATTTTGCCCTTAGACATCCTACAAATACTTTTCTTCTTGACGAATGGTCTAAGAATGGCCCCGATTACTTAACAATTACATATTTATTCAAAGAGAAGGAACCTGTTAAATCAACAAAGAATGCACTTCTTAAGAAGTTGCGAGAAGAATTTGTTCCTGAATTTTCAGAATATATGGGGCGACCATTCGAAAAATTTGATTGCACTAACTTAACTTCCCAAGTGCAACAAATGGCTGCACAAATGAATACTAATTTCACTACAAATCTCACTACTCACTGTAGAAATCGACTCGCCAAATTTTTTAAAAATGAACTGCTTAAAAAATCACCCAGCTACAAGGAGAGAAAATCCAGAGTCATTGACGAAAAATCCATTGAAGAGAGGGACATGAAGCGAAAAGAAGAAAAAAGGAAACGTGCAAGAAAAAATAAGAAGAAACGAATTAAATGGGACAAGAAGAAGAGGATGAAAAGAAAATCTGGAAGACAGAAGAGAATTGAAAAACACAATAAATGTAGAAATTTGTATCCAAATAATAAAAAAATGAGGGACAAATTAATAAACATTCAATCGAAAACGGAACAGAAATCACGTAATGTTGATCTGAGGAAAATTGTCTATGACGCAAGAAAAACTATTGGAAGGAATCGAGGCAAGAAGAAATCTTCCAAGAAGCCGAGAATTCAACCACCAAAGAAACCACCAAAGACAACACCCAAAAACAAACCGTGCAGGAGTCTACCGAAGGAAAAAACACCTGAAAATGAAACAAGCGATACAACATCTGCAACAATCGAAAAAGACATAGCGGAGGAGGAAGAGGAAAAAGAAAAAGAAGGTTACACAATTAAAACCTTAATTGACAATCTTCTTTTAAATAAATGCGAAAGTGAAAAATTAAATCAAATGAATTTGGAGAAATTGAACTTTGGAGACATGACAAGTAAGGATGAGTGTCACAAATTTCTCCCTTTTTATATTCGCTTACAAAAATATTTTATCGATGAAAAAATTAAAGGCTTCATGCTTGTGCCTATTATGAAACCTGGTGTTAAGTACATCTGCTACACAAATACTGCACTGAGTGAATTGGAAAATGTATTCAAGAAGATGCAAAATAAAACTGAAGTAAAAACAACACCAACCAAGAAAATGACGAAAGCCGAAATTTCGAAACAAGAGGCAGAACACAAAAAACTCATCTCACCGGTAAAAGAAAATCATAAGAAATTGTCGAGTGATAAGAAAATTTTGACGAGAGATATAAAGTTAATAAAAAGTGAAAAAAATCCCAAGAATAAAAAAAGATTGGCCGAATTGGAATTAAAATTAAAAGTTTTAAATGAAGATTTATCCATCATCAACAGTGAATTAAAAAACATCTCCGAAAATCACAAAAAAGTCAAAACTGAGAGGAATCAAGATAAATATCTGGAAAATGAACGAAGATGGGAAAGACTTTTCAATTTCTCGAAATTACGCGTTAATAAAAAGAAGTATAAATTTTCAGGGACAATTATGACCGACGGGATTGCCGTTTCAGTAATTTATAATGTTATCAAGCCAAAGAAAATAATTGATTTTCTGCCTACCGAACAAGGAGATGTGCGCGATAAAACTAAATATAAAATTCTCAAAGGACTAGACCCAGGATTAAAGCTTGCTTTCGGTGGCGTTGAAAGGGAAATGCAGCAAGACTTTGATATTAATTCTAAAGACAAACCGATAAAAATCCCCACGGCAACATTTCGTTTCGAAACTCAGGAATATAAACGGCGATCGATTTTATATAAAGTAGGAAATGATCCAAAAACGTATTACGAAAATTTATTAAAGACTCCCGAATTTAAAGACAAAGTAAATCATCGCGATCCATCACTTATTATTCCGAGTACTAAATTTTTATTAAGAACATTCTACGATCAACAACCGAACATGGAGAATAAGAAAATAGCTCGCCTCAAGTGGGATAAGTACATGATTGTTCAACGAGAAACGGATTATCTTGCCGATTATCTGGTAGGAAATAGAGAAGAAAAACAACTCATAGCAATAGGCAGTCCAAAAATCTCCCCGTGGATGCGTGGTCATGTGCGCATGCCATTAAAAAAAGTGGTACGAAGATTAGCCGAAGAGCAAGATAAATATAAAAATTTACGTCTTGTTTTTGTCGACGAATTTAATACCACTAAAATGTGCAGTACATGTAATCAGAAGATGAAAATAATGAAAAATAGAACTGCCTATTGCTCTAGTTGCAGAATAGCATGGAATAGAGATGTGAACGCTGGAAGAAACATTTTAAATTTAGCTCTAGTTCGACTCGGTATAATTCAAAAAGAACAGCTTCCCGACTCGACCAAATTCCGCGCAATCGAGAATGTAGAGTAATTAATCTTCCGCGTTAACTTGAAAAATGGGGTAGATCTATCTACTATACAATAATTGGTTTTCTCCACTTGATGGAAGACCATGCCTTTGCACAAAGGCGTACACCACCAGAATATGAGCTATAACTTTGCTGCATGTATTGTAAAAGTACCTTTAAACAAAAGTTTCCAGCCCTGCTTATAAACCTTAGGTTAAGTCCACAATAGGCACTTTTCTTAAAGCGATGCATACCCTCTACATCGTTTTAAGAAAAGTGCCTATTGTGGACTCAACCTAAAGTTTCGAATCAATCATTTAAACTTTAAGGGTGCGAAATTCAATCTTTATAGTGTAAAGTTATAGTCTTATTTTTAACGGTGTAGAGAAGAATTTAATTTAATAGTTCAGAAATTTTTTAACTCACATCTATTTATAAAATTGAGATTTTTTCTAGTATTAATGGAGCAACAGGACAAAAACAATTGTGACGTATTGAGGTATTAAATTATCGTAAATATTCTGAAAAATAATATGTAACAAATAAACTACAACAAGAAAATTTGTCGCTATTAATATTATCTGAATCATTCTTTTATTTGAGTCAAAAAAATTCTAGTAGAATCAATCATTTCTGCAAAAAACAATAGTTGCAATTAACTCAAATAGTAAAAATAAATTTAAAAAACAAAAGAAAATTTGATAATAAATATTTTTTATAAACTACTGATAAAAATAAAAAGTAAAAACAAATTTACATTTTATACTCTATAATTAATTTTTTTTACATTGCAACATTTTTCTTACAGTGACGCAAAAATATTGCAATAAAAATTTAATTTAGAGAAGAAATAAATAATTTTCGTATAAATTTTGAACTTTCGGAACTTTAGGATAATGGAAAGAAATTTATTTCACTATAAACTAAGGAGAAATATTGATTTTATAAAATCTTTTTTACTCAAAGTCTAGACAATCTTAATTTAAAATAATGTGAGTCATTAAAAGTATATTTAAAATAAAGATTAAAATTTTTGTCCACATTGCGAAACAATTTCGTTAAATGAATCTAAAAATTGATAAATCGGTACTAACTATATAGACTGCGATTACTGAAAATGTCAAACAAGAATTAATGATAAAAATGAATCAGCCGAAACCACAACAAATATCTAGAACCAGAAAAATGACTATTAAAAACGACAGGAAATGTTGAAATTAGAAAATAATTAGCGGAAGAAAATGAAAATCTGGTCGTTAGAAAAAAATATTATATTTAAAACTACTGCTAATTTCCCTTTCAGCAAAATAGACATAATATTAAAAATTCGTTCTATTAAATCGAAATATCCCGCGAATTCCGCCTACGTCGAAAGGAGAAATTTGGATTTTTCAGATTTTTTCGAAAAAATCTGTATCTCTGGTATAAGATAAATATTTCTACTATAGAGACACAATACTTGAAATTTCAAATGAATTTTCAAAGCAATTGTTAACAATTAATTAATTTATGATTAAAATACAATTTTGTTTTGGTAACAAGGTGAATCTTGGTTTAAAAAAAATACGCACATGAGTGAAAAATTAAAATGAGTAAAATTATGAGCGTATATCGTAGAGAGGCATTATGATATTCCTTTTTAAGAAAACGAGCGAGTTTTTGCTGGCAGGAAAATGTATTATAAACGATATAAGTTGTACCTGGTTGATCAGGCAGGCTAGTTGGCGCCAGTCAAGGCTAAAGCGTTCACGACGGTCAAAAGCCGAGCGCCTCTCTCGAGTCCAATATTCTCAGGTGTGCATGCTGCTCTTGCAGACGACGTTTGTCGTCCTTTCTCTCCACAATAAATCCTCGATGTTGATTTTCAATTCGCGTTTTAAAACATGAAACGAACTTCAAAGATTCATAATATATCATGATGATTATACTCTCAATATTTTATATATTTTTGCTCTGACTCAACAATCCACCGCACACTTCAAAAGTTCGTTTCACGTGAATTACACGGTAGCGCGCTAAACTTCACTGTGGTGCACCTTTGCCTTCGTGGACCAAAAGAAACCTCGCCGCACCCCTGTCTCTCGTTCCTGTTCTCTTCCTATTACCATGCACGAGCTTTACCTGCTTCAGTGCCGTCTTCACGCACCATCGACTGGGTTCCGCGAGGCCCAAACTCCTCCACTATTCTCCATCACAATCCACTTTTCTCTCTAAATTAAATTAAGGAAAAAAATTTAATCACAATCCCCGGACATTTAAATCCATTTCCTCTCTAAATTAAATCAAAAGAAAAATTACTCTACACGGAATAATTTAAATATAATTCCTGAACTTTCGGAATTTTTCGAATATCGTAAAATAATCCTACAATATCGTAAAAATCGAAAACCTTGAAATATTCTGAATTATCTTGAATTATATTAAATTATCCTAAAGTACCTTGAAGAATGAATCTTTCCGTTCATGAAAAATCCTGTCTGAAATATCCAGAAATAAACTTGAAATATCCTGAAGAACCTTGAAATACCTTTTGAACTATACAAAGAATTAAATCGAAAATCAAAGATAGTGAACAAGAGAAAAATGAAATAATTTCCTCGCGAAAAAGCACAAGAGTAAAAAATGTGAATTAAATGAATTAAAAGAAGAAAGGAAAATTAAATTAGAGACTTTATCTCAACTAAAAGTTTCCTAATGACAAATTTTCTTTAAAATCAGAAAAGAAGTAAACAATCATTAGGAATTCTTCCTAATTACCTTTAAGTGAAGCCAAATGCTAATTACCTGAACAAGCACTTTAACCAGAGTAATTATGAAATTTAAACTAGATTTAAATCAATGTTTCTTCGTGGATTTTTCCAAATACAGAAAGAATTTTTTACAATTAATTACAATTGTATTTTATATTCGTATTTTATATTTATAAAATTCATCAAATGAGAAGTAACAAGTAATGAAAAACGATCAAAAGTGCAAAATAAAATAGTTTCAAATGAAGGAAATTAAAATAAATTCCTAAAAATTGTTTACCAATCGTAGGAAGAAAAATTCCTAATGAGCTCCAAAAAATTTCAATTTCGAAACATATTTAAACTATAACAGTAAAAATACAATATTAACGATATTATTCGCATTGTAGGGACCAAGACGGCATTGAAAGTACACCACTAATAAAATTTAAACCACGTCGCACATAACGTTTCTTTGTAGATTATCCTATTTTTTACTAAACACTATATTCAAAAAATATAAAAAAAACCTTTTCTTTAGCAATAATAATAATAATACAAAATCCAACCTGACACACCTCTTCGAAACCAGAAGATCTTCCATAGCTTGTTTACATTTTTATCCAACCTCTTCTCTTTTGTTCGTCTATCTCTCTTTTTCATCCGTCATTCTATCACAAATTCTTCCTCCCGTCTAAATTACAATTAAACGAAAACACTGACAATACTCACTGGAATTTGATCAAACATTAAAGAAATTTTTTTACAAAATTCCCACGAAATATTCCTTCTAAATTAATCACAAACCGAGATCCATACGAGTTTATAATTTAGAAAAAAAAACAAAAAAAAAAAAAACCCGTAAGCAAAAGTTTTTCTTTGGAAAAAAAAAATTTGAAAGGAAGGCAACAGGGAGCGAATGTCTACCTGTTGCATGTTCGTCGCGCGACGCTTAATACACCTGTCTTTAGACTTGCGCACAAAATCTCTAGACTAAACCTCGGGAATTTTCGGTCAATTTACCGAACTGTCACGAATCAAGCACGTTTCGAACATGTCCTGAGAAGTGTCTTATATAGAGATCTTTCAAGTGTAATAGTATAGAAAATCTTTTCATGTCGCAGGTATAAACCACGTTGTGTCTTGTTCGCAGGATGTCATATATACGTAGACAGTATAGTTGAATTTCAATTATTTATTCAAATCACGTGCCGGATGTTAAAACATAACCGCGTGAAATGCATTTTGTCGGTATTATATTGATTGTGTGAGAGAGAGAAAGGAAGTTCAGTGCGATTCTTAAACGAATTTTGATAAAAATTATTGATATAAATAAATGAAATAACAATACGATATTTGTAGACAGGATGATCACAAGTTTCAGTTTATCAATTTCCCTTACAATTTACTGACAAAAATTATTTTCCCTGACAAAATTCTTTTTACAGGAAAATATGAAAGTTTACGGAAATTGAGTAAAATTTATTAAATTGAATCATTTTTAAAAATTACAATCATAACCCTTCTTGAATTCAATTATTTTCTATAATTTTCAACTTAACTTTATCTTTAAATCAATTATTTTAAATAATTTTCCTAAAGTTCTTCGAGAATTAAATTATTTAAATTCGAAAATTCAATTTTTTATAATAATTGTAACTGTCCATGTTTTTTTTTCTTAAGTTTAAAGGTATAATATTTTCAAAAAATAAAAATAATCAAATTTTTAAAGAATTTTAATTATAAATATGACCATTAAAATTTTTGATAATTCAATTATTTTGAAAATTTGCAATTAAAATTCTTCAAAAATTGATTATCAAATATTATAACAAAATACTTGAAAAACATTAATTATTTTCAATTAAATTTAAAAAAATTAAATTATTCAAAATAAAAATATACTATAAAAATCGAAATGATTTACATTTAATACTAAAAAATATATTTTGTTGCAGTATTTGGAAAAAAAGTCAAGAAAATCGCAATTTTTGAAAATAAGTCGAAAAAATAAAAATCTCAATTTTCAAAATTTCTTTGACAAAAAATTTTTTTTTCCTAACATGTGGCCACCCTGGTAGAATATTGTGAGAATGAAAATAAATTTCAAATTCATATTTGGGAATTTTTTTCTGTTTTCTATCATCATTTCCTTCTTTTTGTTTCCAATTTATAGTTAAATTTTAAGTTCAATTAAATTTTTAATTTTGTTAAATTTCTTTTAAAGAATATTTAAAATTATATTTAATCAACTTGATAAGATCAATAAATACATTGAAAAAAATTTATTTGATTCAAATAACCGATTACTTGAATATTATCAATTAAATATTCACTTGAATCAAATAATTTTTATTTAAGTCAATTTAATGGTTCGATTCATATTTGCTTCAAATATTGAAATTATTGGTTCAAATATCATTTAATTGATTTAAATAAAAATCGATTCAAGTAAATATTTATTTAATAGACAAGTAATTGATTGTTTGAATCAAATACATTTTTTTCAGTGTAGATTTACTCTCGATTTTATTTCATTGAATTCTGATTTTTTTCTGTAATGATAAAAATAATTATTTTACTGTTGACTTACGAATTTTAAGTGATGACTTCGAAGAAGAATTTTGTCAATTCCTCTAGGTTCAAGTTTATTATCTTCAGGTACCCAGCTCTCTTTTGATGACCTTTCTCCATTTTTTTAAACTAATCCCAAAAGTTCCGTGTATTTTTTGTCATCCACGGCAGGTAAATGGTATTATAAAAGAAAAATTTTAACCGCCTGGAAGATTTCCTTTTTAATAACCAGCAATCCTTTGGTCTCCGAAAGTCAACTGAAAAAAATTAAATAATATAATAAAAACTTACAAAAGTTTTCCATAAAATTGAAATTCTAAAATTTTTTTTACCCTTAAATAAACTCAAATTAATTTAAAATATTCTATTTATCCTTGTAATATTGTTAATAGTCAATACTCAAAATATTTTTGTAATATTCCTGACAGTATTATTAATATTAATATATATTAATAATATTCTTGACAATAGAATACTTAATATATTAATTAATATTACTAATTAATATAAAAAACTACTACGAGTTTAGATTAAAAAATTTTAATCTTTAATAGGAAATTGTAAAAATGTGTTTACAAAAGGAAATCGATTTTGTATAAAAAAATAAATTCGATTGCCAATTGAACAATTGAATGTAGATATTGTAAACAATTTATAATTTTACTGTCAGAAATAAATATTAATTATTATTTGTAATTTGTTGCATTAATTCAACAAATAACAAATCACAAAAGTGTAATTTGTTATCGTTACGAAAAATGTTTAAACATTTACATTGGAAACAAGAAAGGAATCTGAAATCTACTATTCTTCAAAATAACCCCTAAAAAAGTAATAATATTCAAAATTTTTTGTATGTTTGACTCGTTTGTCTTTTGTCAAAATTGAAAACAAATAAAAAAATATTCTTGAGACAAAAATAGCAAATCTCAAATGTTTCCCTCCATAACGTACCTAACCTCAAAATACACTAACAAGTTTGAACAAGTCCAACATTTATATTTAAACACATTTTCCCAAAAAACATGAATAAAAGTTAAAATAATGTATAATTACCATTAACCAATGTATATTTATACAAAACTGCATTAAATTTAATCAATTTCTCTATTTCTTTGTTGCAATAATGTTCGTTGAAAACACCTGGAGAAAAATTTTTGTCATTCTTATTAGTGAGAAATCTGCAATTACTTAGACGAAAATTCAATAAATAACTAATTTTCAATTAATTATAAACAAGAGATAACAAGAAATTAATAAAAAATATATAAATTCTTACCATTTTCATGTGCAAAAAGTAGGAAAATTCTTCAGCTTGCGCAAATGTCCGTTGACGATTGACTGATGTGAAATTGCCGATAAACAACAATGGAAACTGAAAAAACCTAACATTTTTCACAGTGCTACCAATATAACTCTGCAATATTCCACAATTGTATATTTATATAGATAATCACTTTGAGGTTAATTCTTTTTATATTTCCTAATTCAGAAGATTAATTCTCGATAAGAATATATATTTACTAATTAATTCTAAATATATATTATTTTTTTTACCTGTGATATTAAATTTACTTTTGAATTCAGTGCGGAAGTACCATGTACCACCCTGGCGGAAACGGCGCAAAGGCATGTCAAAATTTTTGTTGCAATTCCCAAATTGTATTGACTTTACTTATAATTCTCTGCAAACTTATATTCTACGTAGAATCTTTAATTAATACTGAATTTAATTAACTAGATAACTTTTTAATTAACTTTAAGAGCTAAAAGACTTGATTAGATAAAATTTTCGGGAGTACGAATCGTACACTCTCCCTCGTATAACGAAGCCATTGCACTGAGCAGTGTTGCCAATCCGAGATAATAAGAAATTTCTAACTTTGTCGCCAGTTCTACCAATACAAGAAAGTAATCATTTAAAAACCATTCGTCTTTATATTTACTAAATTATAACAATTGTTAAGTAAATAAATACCTCCGGGATTTAATTTATGATTAAACTTGATTAGTTCTACTTACTATTTTCAAAATAATTTGTTTTTTTAAAAATCTTGTATGCATAAAAGCCACCTTATAAACTTGCCTTTAAGCTTTTGCGTTCGGAGCAGATCGTGTGAATAGACATTTAGTTATTTGAAAGTTGTTGAAAACTTAACAGTTAACATAACCAAAAAGTGAAAATTGTTTATAAAGTGTTTGTTGTTGCTGATTATTTATAATGTTTATTTTGGAAATGTATTTAAATTACAAAAAGTCAGCTTTAAAGAGCATAATCCAGAAGTGTATAAAGTGTATGTTTCTTACAGAAAAGTAAAAGTAGTTATAAAATTTGGAAATGTATGACAAGAGACAAACGTCTGGAAATATTATTGTAACGAACTATTTGGAAAACCAGGAAAACTATTTCGGTCTATTTGGTCTACTTTAAAAATTATAAATATCAGTCTACAAGTAAGTGAATTCTTTTTCATCGTTTATCTTTTCTTAAAAATTAATTTTTTAACTGAAAAAAAACAGTAAAGGGGAATAAAACTTCATGATACATATTCTATATTTTTATTATAGTCTCCCAACTTTAATAACATAATAAAATATTGAAGAATTTTTCTATGTATATATATATAAATATATTTATATTATAAAGAGAGAAAAAAAAAGATAAAAAATAATTAATGAACTTCCAACATTAATAAACATCTCAAATGAAACATCTTTTTTTTATTTACAAAATACGCAATTACTTAAATTAATTAATACAGTTAAATAACTGTAATTAAATATCGTTGTTTATACAATAAATAATCGCATTTCTATCAACTTTTTCTTTTCTATTTATATATATATAACTATTTAGTAAAACTCTCTATGCGAATGAAGAGAAAATTGACATTTTGGTCGATTTTTTTTTTGCTACGTTCTAAATTGTTTATATACCCACTGATGCCGTTCTGACCCTCATACACTATTTTTTTTATTTAATATTTATAATGTTTATAATGCTGAAGTTAATCCCAAGTAATACACGTCGACTACATTTATTTTTCAACATTTTTTTATTTTTCTTTAAAACACGATTTTTTTTCTCATATTAATTTATTTTCAATATAATTTCATTGAAAACTACCACTAAATTACACAATAACCCCGCTATTATTTGTATGACAATTTTTATGCTGTCTTTAAAAAATTTTTACACATTTTTACTTTCAAATTAGTACATATATAAAAAAAGTCTCCGTTCGGTGCGCGAGGCTTTGTCAGAAATGGAATCAAATATAGTATTTTCTTTTACCCGTAAACAGCATAGAAGAAACAAAGGATCAATTTTTAAATTATTTTGATTTGATAATTTTTAGGTCGCAAATTAAGGAAATTATTACAATAAAAATATTTAACTTTATAGAGTTTATGTGAATTTATATATATGATCTTTTGTTTTTCTATGCAACGAACTACTTTATTTCCAACACTATTTCGAGTTTGACGACAACTACGAGAATTTGAATTATTATTAGTACAAAAAGTCGCTTGTATATCGATCTGAAGATTATTTTTATAATTATTGTATTATCGTATAATTATATTTTTAAATTTTCATTTTTGTTAATAATATTATTATTATTTTTATTATTATTTTCTTTTTAATTATTCATGCGACTGATATGCTTGTGCGTTAAAATAACATATAAATTCATGAATGGTGTTCGAATTATATAAATTCGTTATATTATATTATTTTTATCTACAATCTGCAACAAATGTGATATATCACTTTATCATTATACAAACTTTAAAGATTTGATTTTTGATTAATAGTATATAATAAACTAGTTACAATATTTCCCAACCGGAGAACTAACGTCTATTTTACATATATACGATTTTTATTTTCTAAATTGTGAATATGGAACAAAAAATGTTTGACTAGAGAAAAAAATTGTTTTTATTAGCGAAATTCTTTTTTTTCAAGTTTTTCTTTACCAATTTTGCTCCATATTGACAAATTATTTATAATATCTGGAAATATTTTACTCTCCTTTTTAATTTATTTTCAGATCCTAAAGTTTCAAAAGTTCGAATGAACGACATTTATTTATTTCTTCTTCAAATTAAAATTGTTATTAGAATAATTTTGTGTCACTGTCGACAGAAATTAATTTCAAAGTTTCTAATTGTAAAATTTTAGTTTCTGACTTTTAATATTTAATATTGATTAATTTAACATTAATTAATTTAATATTGATAAATTTAATATTGATTTAATATTGATTAACTTGATATTATTTTTTTAATATCAATTAATTTAATTTTTTTTTTGCATTCTGCAAGGGAGATAATATTAATATTATTTTTTCTTAAAAAATTCATTCATTTGAAAGTTCAAAACTTGTGGATCATTAAAATTTTCCGTTTTTATTAATTAGAGAATTTTCTTTTTTCAAAAATTCAATATACATCAATCGGAGAAATTTTAATATTTAATTGCATTTGATTCCTATAAAGTTAATTATCCCAGATATTTCATATTGCTAAATGAGTAAATACATATTTGGTTAAATGTAACTATATATACATCGATATACCTATACTTGTAAATCTACAAATGTAATTATGTATAATTATCATCACGAAATATTGACATTGTTTTTGGTTGATTTTCTAAATTAATATTTACATTTAATTTATTTTTCCTCGCGAAAACAAAAATTGTTGATTTGAACAAAAAATCAATTTTGGTGTATATAATAATTACAAATGAACTAAATCACTTTGGACCCATTTTTGTTTTTTTTTAGAGAAGAAAATTAAATTTTTAAAAATTCATTTCACGCATCTATTTATGTATTTATGCTTTTCTGGTCCATGGTTATTTGTAAAAATATCATGTTCTTTTGTTCCCCAAATAAAGTACAGTTCGTTAGTGTTTTTACGGTTGAAATAATTTTTTTCTTTTTTCATTGAATAAAATGTTGTTAAGAATTTTTTTTAGATTACATTGAAAGTCGTGTTATTTAAATAGAGTTTTTCGTTCCTTTAGTTCGAAGTAAATAATAACAAACAAATTCATATAAAAGAAAGGAATAATTCGTAGGTGTAAGGAAAAAATGTTCTATTTTTGATTTTTAGGAAACTTTTTTACGTTTACGAATGTTAAAAAATGTTTTTTTTTTAAATTTCCACTTAGCACATTGAATAGTGTGAGGGAAGCATTATGTTTTGACAAAAAAAGCATTCATCAAGTTTTTCTTTTTTTCCAATAAAAAAAAATTGTTTATGAAATTTTTTTCGAATATCTCTTTTGAAATGTAATTTTCTTTTTCATATTTCTTCCTTTTCAAATTTTTTTTCCAAGAATGTAATAATTTTCATTCTTTAATCATCTATCCTTAAATAATTATAATCGGAGACAAATAAATAATTATAATAAGTAAATAAAGAAAAAATAATTTAAAAATAAACAACTGAGTAAATAAAAAATAAATAATTATAAAAAATAGAATATTGGTAAATAAAAAAAATAATAAAATAGTAAATAAATATGAAAAGGAATTTATGAAACCATGTAAATTTAAATGAATTTTAATTAATTTTGATTTTTTTAATCATTTATTTAGTAGTAAATAGAAAAAAATGAATTGTTCCTGAAAAAAGTTATTATTTTTCACGAAAGAGAATAAGTTATTTTTGCAAAAACAATAAATTGTTTTCGTTTAAAGGACATTTTATTTGCTCAATTTTAATCGTTTTTTATATAAATATGAAAAATAATAAATTTTCCTCTTGAGAAAATAATGCTTTTTCATGTGTAAAATATTTCTTTTGAAGGATAATAAATTCATTTTTTATATATATATATATATAAACAATACATGTTTCAATCTAAAAAGAAAATATGAAATAAAAAATAAAATTTGATATTCATGTAAACATTTAATTTTCAATTTAATCAAAGAAAGTTTCATTTTTATAAAGAAAATTGTTTTTCGTTATTTATTTCTTTTTGTAAAATACAAAAATTAAAAACAAGGGGAATAAATATTAATATTATAAAAGTAATTGTTTCGTCTATAATAATAAATAAATAAATAAATAAATAAATAAATAAATAAATAAATAAATAGATGAATAAATTTATTAATTAATTATAAATAATAAACAATAAACAATAAACAATAAACAAATAAAAACATAAAATATCTGAAAAAATTAATAGCACAAAAAAATATTATTGACGAATATTGGAATGAAGCCAGAATGAAAAACCAGTCAATAAGAAATTCATCAATTAAAAAATGAATAGAATAGAAAAAATTCAATTAAAAATGAAATTAATTATAATTGACAGAATATTTTTCTAATTTTTGTCCAAATAGTTTTATCAATTTTTCTAAATAGTTTTTGTCATTATAAAGAAACGATAAATAATATTATTTTGATGAAAGAAACCTTTCTGTCTGTTTTTGCTTTTTTCTTTGCTTATTTCTTACTAATTCGCAAAAATTTATTATTAATATTTTTATGATTTATTGAATGGTCCCTGAATCACACGTTCCATTAGGAAAAAATCCATAATTCGATAAGAGAACGTTCCCCACTTTATATGAAGAATTTATTTTTAAACTCATTAAAAAATTTTTCTTCAACATTTTCCAACTGAATAAATTTTGTTCTGAACAAAAATATTCTATTCAAGTGATCGTCTATTGTTTCATATAAATATTTAAAAAAAATAATTCATTATTTTGGTAATACAAGAAAATATATTATTTTACATTCTCTCATCAATTTAAAATAAATAAATTATAGTAATTAATTATGATATATTAAAAAAATAAATTATAATAATAATTAATTATAATAAATTAGAAATCTATAATAAATTTTTGAATAGTAGTTATATAATTAAATATATAAATAAATTTAAAAAATATTTGTGTACATTAAAACACTACACATCTATATCACAGTTTAATATAAACTTGTTTAAGTTAATAAAAAAAATTTTATAGTTATAAAGAATTATTTCTAAATCACTTGTGAATCATTGTGCTAAGTGGGATTTTTAATTATAAAATAAACTTTTTTATACCACTTAAAAAAAAAATTAATGTCCAGTGTAAAAATGTACGATATTCAATTAATTAAAGTTGTCCCTCTGGAATTCTGATTTTAAATTCGAATTCTACATTCGCAGATTAGCATATATTTTGTTTCTTTTTTTGTCCAAAGGCCTTGTTTCATCATTAATTATTAATCGAGTACTAATATATTTTTTAATTTTTTCTTCTATATATAATATGTTGTTAATGGCAGGGGTGGGCAGTATTCGAGCCTTTAATTAACGGACTTTATTTTTGGCCATTCATTTATCATTTATGATAAACGTATTTTCTATTCCACGTGTTTATTTCGACTCAATAAGTACAATTATATTTTTAATCTCACATGTATTAGAATCAAATATATAAATAATTGTAAATATAATTGGTAATAATAATTAATAATAATAAATATTGTCAATAATAAAAATAATTGATAAATAATAATAACTAATGATAAATATAACTAATAATAAAAATTACTAATAACAAATAACTAATACAAATAATAACTAATAATTATTATAAAAAAAATTTTTTTTAAATAAAGAAAAACAAAAAATAAAAATAATCAATAGTAAAAACAACTAAAAATTATTCTTTTTATTTAAAAATATTATTTATATACTAAAAATATTATATAAAAATAAAGAAAAACAAAAAAAGTACAAATAACTAATAATGAAAATAAATAATAATAAATAAAACTAAAAGATATTTGTAAATTAATTATCTTTGTCCACCCCTGATTATTTATTGTAATTCATCAGTAGAACAAATTACTCATATAATACGAAAATTAATTATTACTATATAATCAACAAAAAAAATATCACGTGAAATATGTGCAAAAAAAATATTTTCTATACTCGAGAAATAAATTTTCCCATTAACTAAATGTCCGTCATTAAATACTGTGGACACGAAGATTTATTTATACAAACTAAATATACAAAAATTACTATAATTAAGTTCACGAAGTAGATAATTAGGGAATTATTAAATAATTCTGTAATTTCTAAATAAATAAACAAAATAAGTTAAAAGTAATTAGGATATTAATAAATAAATTAATAAACGAATTTATTAATTAATTGAGCAAGTAGTTATTAAGAAATTAAATTAGTAATTTCGCTAATTATTATAACAATTATTATTAATAATTACATATTACTAACTTGTGAAAAATGTAAACAAAATGTTAGTAATTAATTAAAAATTTATTAATTAATACTAATTTTTATAAATTATTGATTAATAAATTAATTAATTGTTGTCATAATTATTAATTAATTAATTAATTAATTAATATTACTAATTATTATCAAGTTTTCATTAATTAGTTAATTATTAGTAATGATTAGGAATTAATTATTACTAATTTTCATCAATTATTAATTAATTAATTAGTTAATTATTTCTAATTAATATTAATTAATTACTTAATTATTACGAATAATTATTAATTAATTATTTCTATTTATTAGTAATTCGTAAATCATTACAAATTATTATCGAGTATTATAATTAATTAGTTAGTTATTACGAATATTTATTAATTAATTAATTAGTTAATTTTTAGTAATTATTACGAATAATTATTAATTAATTAGTTAGTTAATTTTTAGTCATTATTACGAATAATTATTAATTAATTAATTAATTAGTTAATTTTCAGTGATTATTATTAATAATTATTAATTAATTAACAATGGAAAATAGCAAAAATGAAAATAGAAAAAAATTTTGTCGCAAATAAAATTTGACAAGATGCTCATTTTCTTATTTCGTGAATGTCGTGTCACGGATTTTTTTTTTCTTGTAACAATGTATAATTTCTTTGTCTACTAAAGAATAAGGAAAATTAGCCGTTCTTTTTGTTCAGTATTCGTCCTTTTTAATAATGTTTAAGAGCATTAGGAAAATATCGTCGGTCTCTTTGGTCTCATTAAATGGTCGACTTTATAATTAATTCTCTAAGGAGTAAGTTATAATCGAGTTTCGTATATTATACCTATATATAGTATGTATATATGTATATATAAATCTATTTATAATTCAGACGGGAGAATAAAGTTTACCGCGCGTTTTAAACATAGTTGGGTCTAGAGCAGCATAAGAAGTTAAAGGTTCCGCGGATATAAGACGGATTTCTGGACCTATTTTCCCATCGGTAGACCTTTCGATTCCCATTACTGCGATTCACACGACTCGCTGCTTCTTGAAGTGCAACTGGTCGTTCTGTAAAGAATAAAGGAGAATTATTTTTATTTTTTATTTTCTTTCTTTTTTTATAGTATTTTTTTTAATTATTTTTTTTTTACTTTTTTAAATAGAATTTTATGTTTTTGACAATTTGGAAAAATAGATGATTTATTTGAAAATTTTTTGAAGCGAAAAATTGCAAAGTTTCTTTCAATATTGGAAAATTTTGTTTTTTCGAATGATTTTTCTATTATGACAATTTTGATAAATATTTATATATAATTAAATTGAAGATAAATTTGGCTAAATTAAAATTAAACTTGCTTTGCCTCGATAAAAATTAAATCTAATTTAACTCAATAGAAATTAAAGTAAATTTTGTTACTTATAAATTTAACTAAATATGATTTCTATTAAAATAAAAAAATTTAATTTATAGATTAACTGGGATAAAAAATTTGATTGAAAATTAAATTTAATTTGACTAAATGAAAATTAAACTCGATTTGACTTAATGTAAATTAAATTAAATTTGACTAAACGACAACTTAATTTAACTGAAATATAAATGATTCAATAAACAAATAATTAATAAATAATTGAACAATAATTTGAGTGAATGAAAATTAAACTAGATTTAATTAAATGTAAATTTAAATAAATTTAGGTAAATAAATGAAAATTAAACTAAATTTGACTAAATGATTATTAAATTTAATTTAACTAAATGAAACTTAAATTAAATTTTACTAAATAAAAATTAGACTAAATATGAAATTGGAAAAAAAAATTTATTCATTGAAAAATTAAGACAGAAAATTTAATTGAAATTTAAACTTAATTTAACTGAATGAAAACTAAACTACATTTGACTAAACGAAAATTAAAATAAATGTGATTTTCGATAAAATAAAAAATTTTATTTATTGATTAACTAAGATAAAAAATTTGACTGAAATTAAGTAGGTTAAATGAATATTTAACTTGATTTAGTTAAATGAATATTTAACTTGATTTAGTTAAATGAATATTAAACTAAATCTGACGAAATGAAAATTAAACTTTATTGAATTGAATGAAAATTAAACTGAATTTTGCTAAATGATTATTTAACTTTTAATTCAACTAAATGAAAATTAAACTATATTTTACTGAATGGCTATGAAGGTAAATTTTACTTAATGAAAATTAAACTAATTTTTACTAAATTATAATTGAACTAAATTCGAAATTCGATAAATAAAAAATTTTAATTTATTGAAAAATTAAAATAAAAATTGTGACCGAATAAAAATTCAACTAAATTTGAGAAAATGGAAATTTAACTAAATTTGACTGAATAAAAATTAAACTAATTTTGACTGAATAGAAAATTAAACTAATTTTGACAAAATAAAAATTAGACTAAATTTAATTAAATAAAAGTTGAGCTATAAATATAATATTCGATAAAATAAAAAAATTTCCACATATATTGAAAAATTTAATTAAAAAATAATTTCTATTTCACCGGAAGGAACTTTTGATAATTTGATTTATTAATAAAAATATTTTTTTAATCGAATCGTGAAAGAAGGTCTCTCTTGAAAAAAAAAACGAAATACTCGCTCAATTTTTACCTATTTCATTAAAATATGATGGAAATTCTTGAAAGAGTCTCTATGCACATTTTACTAATTGCCAACGTTTACTCTTCTTTTTCACTAATCAATGTAAAAAATATTCATATAGAATTTTTTTTTTGCTGCAATTTATCAAAATTAACGGTAGAGAGAAAAATAAAATGCAAAAAAAAACAAAACGCAACGTCGTGTAAATACATAAATCGCTTTCAGGGAAAAGTAAACGAAACTAAATTCGTATCTAAAGCGTTCTTTTTTTATTCAACATGTGTATTCACCGTTAACCAAAAAAAGGCTCACATTCCAATTTTTTTTTACTTTTTTCAACTCGGTCATATTTTTTTATTGCTCTTTTATTTTTGCATGGATATTAAAAGTGAAAAAAAAATAAATATAAATATTAATGCTCGTCGACACGAATATGGATTTAAGAAATAAGAAATTTAATATTACAAAAAAAAGAAAGGAAATTATTACCTAGCTTTTATTCTATTGCTTAAGATTTGCGTATAAACGAGTGTGTTAATTAAAAAAATGAAACTCACCAGTGTCAGCTTCTGATTGTGGCATAAATTCCTGCAACTCGGCTATGAGAGCATTTATTTCTTCGGAATCTTTTTGTATACTGCAAAGTTCTTCTTCGTTGAAATCCAGTGTAATCTGTTTGCACAAAAGTATTTGAGTAATGACGTTCCCAATATTTGATGGCCCCGATTTGCTTTCTGTTGAATTAAATGCACAAAATTATTGACAATTCTTTTATTATTTTGTATTATAGTTATTTATTTTTTATTGTAAAATTTAAATTGAAAAAATTAAAATTAAAAAAGTAAAACTAAAAAAGTAAAACTGAAATATAAAATTAAAAAAATTAAATTAAAAAAAAATCCAATTAAAAAAGAATAAAATTAAAAAGAAAAGAAAACTAAAGAAAAGTAAAAATAGCGAAGAAATTAAAATTAAAAAAAAAAATTAGGTACAATTACAAAAAAGTGAAAATGAATATTTTATGATCTACAAGTTTGTGACTACAAAAAAACAAGGTATTTTTGAAAATATTTTCAGAAATTACAAATTGTTAATAAAAATTACAAACTTAAATTTATAATTAAGAAACTTTATAATTAATTTTTTTGAAACGTGACGTAAAATTATTGGTAATAAAATTTTAATTTGAAAAAGAAACGAATTTAGGAACATTATTTATTTTTTATTGAAATTGGAAAATTGATAACAGTTCTTTATAAATTATATTAATTGATCTATAATTAATTAATTATTAACGGTTTAGCTCACTGGGTAGTTTTAATTAATTTTTGAATTATTAATTAATTGGACAATTAATAGACGCGTCAATTTTTAAATAACAGTATTTTTATACTACTATTGTAATTAGTAATTTATTATTTTTATCCTCTAAAGTAATAATTTATTTATTAACATCATCATCATCTCCCAGGGTATAAAAATAAATAAATTGCCAATTAAAATGAAAATTGAATAGAAAACTAAAAAATATTTAAATATCTATTATTCGATAATAAAAGCAAAATAAATGACCGAACTTTTTTTTTATGAAACTTTAGCTTCACGAGAAATCCATTTATTTTAGATTTCTTGTCATTTTTCCTAATAAATATTGATTTCATCTCTTTGAAAACATATAAAAGGCGCATATAAACAAAAAAAAAAAAAAAAAAAAGTTGACGTAAACTTTACTCCAAGTTTTCTATTACATTTTTTTTTTCAACAAATGGATTTAACAAAGTTTTCTAATTTAAATTCCGAAACAAGAGGAGAAATTCGAAAAAGTTTTTTTTTCTTTTTTTTTTGCTTTGACAATGGAAAAAAATTAATGGCGTGGAAGGAATTTAAATAATATAAATATATATAATTTGAGGAGTAAAAAATTTACCAAAATATCCTGTCATATCCATTGGCACGATGCGAATCAAATTTTTGCTTTTGTACAATTCCCGAAGAAAAAGTTGGGCCAAGAAAAATAAAAGGACTAAATTTGGACTGTCTGCTGGAATGCCTGCCTCCATAGCACTGAAAATAGAGAAAACGTGTTAAAAATATTGTTTTGAGAAATTATTAATCCATTAATTAATTTACTAATTAAATTTAATTAATTAATTAATTAATTAATTTACTAATTAAATTTAATTTATGTAAATTAATTTACTAAATTCTCTTTACAAAAAAGGAAAGTAAATTAATAAATTTACTTTCCTTTTTTGTAAAGGAAATTTTATTTAAAATTTCATTCATATTTCTCTTGAATATTTTTTCGAAAATTAATTTCAAAAACTAGATTTTTGAAAATATTAATATATATGAACAGATTATTTTTTCAAATAAGTTTTTTTTAATAATATAATTTTTCCATTTAGTAGAGTAGAATGGAATGAAAAAGCTATTTGTTTACTTTTTATCCTGTAAAAATCGTAATTAAATTTTTTTCTTCACATTTCCAATTATAGTCGTGAAAGGTTAGTTATTATTTTTTTTAAGAGAATCGAAAAAGCATTCATATTTTTTTCTATAGAAAACGTTTGTCCGTCACATAGTTTGTAAAATCGGTGATTAATTTATTATGTTCTGAGTTGCGACTACCAGTTAATTACGTAAGGAATATTTTACAGGTTATGTAAAATCACCTGAATCATCATAAATTATGTAAAGCCTGAATTAAATATAGCTCTATAACATAGAAAGTAGCAAGAACTTCCTTTATGGAAAGCCCAGGACCCATATAGAAAATTAATATGTAAAACCCTTTTATGCGTATATATGTGACCACAGTTAGTCTTATAAAAAATTAAATACATTCGTGCGTATAAATAAATAACTATAGACATGTAAATAATTTTTTATTAAAATGACTGGTCGTAAAAAAATTAACGTGAATTAGAATTTTTATTTTTTAGCGAGACAAATTGTTTTAAAAATTTCGATAATATTGAAATCAGTAGTGAAAGACAGATACAGTCAGACAAAGTATTTTTAGCTATTCCTCCTGACACTAATTGACTTTCACTACTGATTTGATTACAAGACGTGAAAAAAGATTTGTCTAACTGAAAACGAGTCGTTATTATATTTATATTATTTAAAAAAATTTTAATGAATTTCTACGCCAACATTTAATTATATTCAAAAATAATTAAAATCTCACAGAAATTCAATTACTTTCAAAAATTTTAATAAAATTCTTCGCAAAAATTCAATTATTTAAAAAAATTTGTTTATAAAATTCTTCGCAAGAATTCAATTATTTTTAGAAATATTAATGAAATTCTTCGCAAAAATTCAATTATTTTTAGAAATATTAATAAAATTCTTTGTAAAAATCCAATTAATTTTTATAAAAAATAAAACTCATATCAGAATTTCAATTATTTTTAAAAATTTTCCTCAATTCAATGATTTTCAATATCTACTATTTTAATAAAATTTTCCAAAAGAATTCAATATTATTTTTTTTTTAAAATGTAATAAAATTGTAAGCAAACATTTATTTATTTTCATAAATAATAAAAGTTTCACAGATAAATTAAATGTATTTACAAAATTTTCATAAATAAATAAAAATTTCTACAGGGATTCAATTATTTTCATAAAAAATAAAATTCTTTTTAGGAATTCAATTATTTTCATAAAAAAATAAAAGTAACCGCAGAATTTCAATTATTTTTAGAACAATTATACTCGAATTCTTCGAAAAATGTAATTATTCTTTAAAATGTTAATAAAATTTTTCGAAAGAATTCCATTATTTTCATAAATAAATAAATCAATTTTTTACAGGGTTTCAATTATTTTCATAAAAAATAAAATTCTTTTTAGGAATTCAAATGTTTTCATAAATAATAAAACTGATTGCAGAATTTTAATCATTTTTAAATAAAATTTTAATCGCATTCCTCGAAAAATGTAATTGTTCTTAAAATTTTGATTAAAATTTGTCAAAAGAATTCAATTATTTAAAAATTTGTTGATAAAATTTTTTATGAGAATTCAGTTTTAAAAAACTTTTAAATATCTATTTAAAAAAGAAGTTATTGATGTTTTCGAATAATTTTACAATTAAAGAAATTCGTAAATAAATAATGTAATAAAACATTCTTTGAGTATCTATAATAATTTTTAGAGTAAATCAGAATATATTCTTTAGGCTCAGGGAAAAAGTCAAAATTTTGTCTGGAAATCAGGGAAAAACAATAGTAAATTTTTGTCCCTACGGTGTTTATAATTATTCAGCTAAAAACTATGTACAACTAAATACCTTTTTTTAAAATTGATTCTAAATTTTTATTTTTATTTTTCGCTGCTATTGTATTTTACACTACTAAGGAATTATTTTACCCGGGTAATAAATAGTCTGAATACTCAAACTAACATGTTACAGTTTCTAAAATGTTCAGAAAGGAAGTTTAAACCCATTTGTAATTCCTGATTAAGTAGTAAAAGTCTTTTTAGTCAGACTGGAGTTGTAAATTCGTTGCTCTTTCTACAACATATTATATGTTTTCTGAAATTTTGTTTTATATAGTTTTATTATATTTTCATGAAACTATAACATTAATTATTTTAAAGTATTTATAATTATATATTATTTATTTTATTATAACTATTAGAATTTATTTAATTCTAATTATTTGCATTAATCATAATTATTAATTTTATAATAATATTAATTTTTATTACTATTCTAAACTATAACTATACTACTTGATAAATATGCTAATTTTTATAATTATACTAACTTTTGTTAACTTTAGATTATATTATTATGTTATAATTATTTTTATTTTATAATTAATTTAAAATTGTAACGACAAATAGAAATAATGAAAAAATTTTTCACTTCTTTTCATTAAAAGACAAATTTTGTTAAATATTATGTTTTGTCAAATTGAAATTATGCAGATTTTTGTTCTTTACTTCTATAGAAAATTAGAAAATTGTTAAACAACTGTGATTAAGAAATAGAAAATTTTATTATTTTGCATTATTTTTGTTTATGAATCACAATTTTTTTAACAAAATTATTATTTTGTTTTAAAAAAAGAAGAAAAATATTTGCAAAATTTCTATTTTTAATCTTATTTTTGGAACATGATTTTCCACAGGAATTAAAACATTCAAAAATTTCAAATTCAAACCTTTTTTAAATTAAACAACTTATAAAAGTATTTGTTTGTCTAATAATTAAAGATGAACGAAAGATAAAATCATTATTTTATATTATAAGAATATTGTTACTGTAACTTCATCAAAATTATTTTCATCATTTTAATTAAATTATTATTTTCTAGAATTAAAAATTTTTTTTTATGAAAATAATTGAATTCCTTATAAAAATTTTATTATTTATGAAAATAATTGGATTGCAGTCAAATTTTTATTATTTATGAAAATAATTAAATGTTTGCATACAATTTTATTAAACTTTTTTTTTAAATAATTGAATTCTTTTTGGGAAATTTTATTAAAATAGTAGATATTGAAAATCATTAAAATTAGAAAATTTTTTGAAAATTATTGAAATTAGGACAAGATTTTTTTTGACATTTATGAAAATCATTGAAATTTGAAGAAGAATTTTGTTATTTATAAAGATAATTGGGATTTTTACGAAAATTTTTTTCAAATTTTGAACATAGTTGAATTTTTTAAGAAGAATTTTATTTTTTCTTCAAATAATTGAATTTCTGCAATTATTTGAAAATTCTATTATTTTATTTAAAAATTTTTTCGAAAAAATCAATTTTGTTTTTAAATCAGATTTTTTTTTTATAAATATATTTTAATAAAAATTTTTTAAAATAATTGCACTTTTCGCGGAATTCATTTAAAATTGTATGAAAAAATAATTGAAATTCTACAATGAGTTTTATTATTTATAAAAATAATTGAATTTTTGCATCGATTTTAATTGAAAAAAAAAATTAAATTCTAAAGAAAAATGTTATTATTTAGAAAATTAATTGAATTCTTGCCCAAAAAAATTGATTACAATTTTTTAAATCATTCAAATTTTGCAAACAATTTTATTATTTTTGAAAATAATTTAATTTCTCAGAAGAATTTTATTATTTATGAAATTAATTGAATTCTTTACAAAAAATTGATTAAAATCTTTAAAATAATTGAATTCCTCACAAGAATTTTCTTACTTATGAAAATAATTGAATTTTTATGAAGAATTTTTGTTAACATTTTCAAAAATAATTGAATTTTCCTGAAAAATTTAATTATTTATAAAAATAATTTAAATCCCCTAAAAAATCTATTTATTTATAAAAATAATTGAATTCTTTACAAGAATTTTGACTTAAATCTTTGAAATAATTTGAATGTTGCAAAGAATTTCATTATTTTTCGAAATACTTTAATTCGTCAGAAGAATTTTATTATTTTTTGAAATACTTGAATTCGTCAGAAGAATTTTATATTATTTATGAAAATAATGGAATTTTTGTGAAGAATTTTGTTAAAATTAAAAAAAAATAATTGTATTCCCCTGAAAAATTTAATTATGTATTTATAAAAAAAATTGAATTCTTTACAAGATTATTATTATATTTTCTAGACTTTTAAATTATTTTTTATACAAATAATTGAATTCCTGTGAAATTTTTATTATTTATGCAAATAATTAAATGTTTGCATACAATTTTATTAAAAATTTTTTAAAATAATTGAATTCTTTTTGGGAAATTTTATTAAAATAGTAGATATTGAAAATAATTAAAATTAGAAAAATGCATTTTATTTTTGAAAATAATTGAAATTAGGGCAAGAATTTTTTTTGACATTTATGAAAATAATTCAACTTTGGAGAAGAATTTTTTTATTTATAAAGATAAATGGAATTTTTTTCAAATTTTGAAAATAGTTGAATTTTTGCAATTATTTGTAATTTCTCCAAAATTGAAATTTTTTTGTGATTTCAACAAAAAATTAAATTAGAAAATTTTTAAATTCTATTATTTTCAAAATTGATAATTTTATTTAAAAAAGGCAGCAAGAAGTTAGCCGCG